CATATACTCCAACTCTGCTTCAGATTTTGGTGCATAATCAGATGATAGATGGATGTTTGTGGCACTTGGAGTATCAATAGGCTTAGCTGAAGACATGACAAACCTTGACAGAATCTTCTCAATGTAGCTTTTCTGTGATAAGAAAAGCTTCTTCTGATCTCTTTCCCTGTATATCTCCATGCCCAGAATTTTCTTCGCAGCACCCAAATCCTTCATATCAAACTCAGCATTTAGATGGCCCTTCAACTTCTAAATCTCTAACTTCGACTTCGCAGCTATGAGCATATCATCCACATACAGAACAAGATAGATCATGGAGCCATCATCAGCTTTGTTGTGATACACACAACAATCATATGGACTCCTGCTGAATCCTAGCTGGATCATGTAAGTGTCAAACCTTTTATACCACTGCCTTGGAGACTGCTTTAGTCCATATAAAGACTTCTTCAGCTTGCAAACATAATTCTCCTTGTCTGGAACCACGAATCCCTCGGGCTGGGTCATGTAGATATCATCCTCAAGCAATCCATGTAGAAAAGCTGTCTTCACATCTAGTTGCTCAAGTTCCAGACCCTGATGTGCAACCATCGCAGTAACACCCTGATGGAAGTATGTCTGACTACTGGTGAGAAAATCTCATTATAGTCAACCCCCTCCTTCTGTGTGAACCCTCTTGCCACTAGCCGTGCTTTGTATCTGACACCCTCATCAGGGATGGTTCCTTCTTTCTTCTTGAAAATCCATTTGCAAGTAACAATCTTCCTCTCCTTAGGCCGTGTGACGAGCTCCCAAGTCTGATTCTTAGACAATGACTCCATCTCTTCTCCCATTGCAGCGAGCCATTTAGCGCACTCGCTGCCCGAAACAGCTTCTTTGTATGTAGATGGTTCGTCCATTGATGGCTCATCTTCCACCTCATCGGCGACATGTAGTGCATATGTCAGCATGTCCTCAAACCCGTACCTCACCGGAGGCTTCACACCTATCCTTCTAGCTCTATCAATGGCGATGCTTCTCTGACGAGCTTCTGGATGAACATCAAAAATAGTAGTTTCAGCAGTAGTGTGTTGATCTTCTCCACCTTGGGGTTGTAATTCACTCTCATTTGGAGTGACTTGCAGCTCCACCTGTTTATCAACACCAGAAATTTCTGCACCAATGGACTTCACAACAAAATTAAGCATAGAATTTTCATCAAACACCACATTCCGACTGAGGATAACTCTATTTTCTGATGGTGACCAAATTCTATACCCCTTGACTCCATCCCCATAACCAACAAATACGCCCTTCTTTGCTCTTGGTTCTAGTTTACCCTCACTCACGTGATAATAAACTGTACAACCAAAAGTTCTCAATGTAGAGTAATCTGCAGGTGATTGAGACCATACCTCAAAAGGTGTTTTGCAGTCAATACCAGTGTGAGGTCCACGGTTAATCAGATAACACGCCGTGTTTACTGCTTCTGCCCAAAACTTCCTAGTTAAACCAGCATGAAAGAGCATGCATCTTGCTCTTTCCAGTAGTGTCTGATTCATGCGTTCTGCCACACCATTCTGTTGTGGTGTATCTCTAATGGTGCGGTGTCGAACAATCCCTTCTTTCTTACAGAACTCATTGAACTCAGACGAACAGAATTCCAAACCATTATCAGTTCTCAATCGCTTGATCTTCTTCCCTGTCTGATTCTCTATCAAGCCCTTCCACTGTTTGAACCTATTGAATGCTTCACTTTTATGCTTCATCATGATTACCCAAGTCATTCTCGAGTAGTCATCAATTATCGACATAAAGAACCTGTGACCTCCAATAGATTCAACACGTGCAGGACCCCAACAATCCATATGAAGGTAGTCAAGAGTCCCCTTTGTCCGATGTACACCCTTCTTTGGAAACTTGCTGCGGTGAAGCTTCCCAGAAACACAATGTTCGCAGAATTCAAGATTCTACACATTATGCCCAGAAAGAAGATCACGCCCCGACAGAATCTTCATCCCTCGTTCTCCCATATGACCAAGCCTCATATGCCATAGCTTTGTCATATCCTTCGTTGGAACTTCTGATGATGCAATATCAGCAGAGCCTGTCACGATGGTACCTTTCAGAATATACAAAGTACCACGTTTCAGACCCGTCAGAACCACCTTTGAACCCTTCAGAATATGCATTACTCCACCTTCACCTCTGAACTTGAAACTCTTGCTGTCAAGTGTACTAAGTGATATCAAGTTCTCCGTCATCTGTGGAACATGCCTGACATCGTTCAAAGTGCAGAACATCCCATCATGCGTCCTTATTCTGATTGAGCCGATTCCTACCACCTTGCAAACAGCACTGTTGGCCATGGAAACATTTCCACAATCTACCTGCGTGTAAGTGGTAAAATACTCTCTGTGAGGACAGAGATGGTATGATGCTCCTGAATCAAGAATCCACACATCATTCTGATGTGGCTGATCACCTGCAACCAAAACCAGATCTTCTTCAGACTTTGAATCATCAGCTTCTGCCATAGTTGCAGAACCGTGAGCATCCTCTTTCTTGTCCTTTTTCTTTATCTTCTTCTTAGAGCAATCAAACTTCCAATGCCCTGATTCTTTACAGTAGTTGCAGATGTCACCGGGTTTAGGACCTTTTGGACCTTTAGAATTTGGTTTCTTCTGTCCAAAAACCTTCTGTCCCTTACCCGTAACAGAAAGTCCTGATGCCTGATTTTCTGTTGCTGAATTAGTTGCCTGTTAACGATCTTCTCTCATGTGGAGAGCAGATCGAACATCTTCCAGAGACAGAGTTTCTTTACCAGCAAGAAACGAATCAACAAAATTCTCATACGATTCAGGCAAAGAAACTAGCAGAATTAAAGCAGCATCCTCATCATCTACTTTAACATCAATGTTGCGAAGATCAAGCAAAATTTTACTTAACTTTTCAAGATGATCCCGAAGGGGTGTACCTTCCTGCATGCATAGTCGAAACAGACGTTGCTTCAAAAGCAACTTATTGGTCAGAGACTTCGTCATGTACAAGCTCTCCAACTTCATCCAGAGGGCAGCAGCTGTCTCCTGATCAGCGACTTCGATGATAACATCGTCTGACAGGCACAACATGATTGTCGAGTGGGCCTTTTCTTCTAGGGTTTTCCACTCTTCATCATCGTTTGCCTTATTCACCTTTTCAGTTAGCGGCGCCCACAATCCCTGCTGCTTAAACAACGATCGCATCTTGATCTGCCATAAGCCAAAGCTATTTCTCCCGTTGAATTTATCAATCTTCACGTTCAGAGCAGATGACATCTTCGATCGACTCAAGAAACCCTAACAGTGCGGAATTCAGAAAATCCCTAATCGGAAGAACCAGAGGCTCTGATACCAGTTTGTTATTACGGAATAGGGTATTGAGTAATCAAAGAACAAACAGAAAACACGACAACAGATTTAACGTGGTTCACCAACGTTGTGTTGGCTAGTCCACGGGGAAGAGGGGGAGCAGTTTTATTTCTGATGGAGAGGCAAAACAGAGAGTACAACATATCCCCCCACATAGGGTTTGTGGTAGCACCCATATATATAGTGCATGACTAAACCCTAACATACTTAGGCTCAAAACTACAGAGTTAACAGATAATTAAACAGCCCAATTAGAATGGGGTTCGGACATCTCAGGATTCGGACCTCTCAAGATTCGGATTTCTTGACTTCTCCGGATTTGGACTTCTCCGGATTCTGACTTTTCCAGACTTGGAGCTGTGATGGGTAGATTCAAGGCATTTTAACAATTATTCTTAAAATTGAAAAAGAATAAACTTTAGAAACAAGTTAAATAGAAAATTATAAAAGTAATTCTTTATTATTAGATGTCAGAAAAATTATTTTTAGAACACATTAATAATGTCAATTTTATTCTTCTCTTAAAATATATTTTTATTGCTACATGTAATTTGAGTTTTAAAGTTTTGATCTTTTACTATATCGAGTTGATCAACTTTGATCATGACTTAAATAAAATTAACATTTGATATTCATATACGGATCTAGACTCACCATCACCGTCACCGCCACAACCGCCGCCGCCATCACTATCACAATCGCCGCCAAATCTAGATCTAGCATATGGAAGAGATATAAGAAGGGGGAGAAAAAGAAGAAGAAAAACAGATGGGGGGAAAGAAGAGGAGGAGATGGACGGGGGAAGAGGAAGAGAGAAAGAGAAAGAAGAGGAAGTGGAAGAAGAAAGAAAGAAAGAAAGAAAGAAATTGAGAAGAGAGAAAAGGGTGGGCGACGGGGAGGGCAGATCTAGGGAGTTTGAGAGAGTGAATGAAATTAAATGATAAGGGTAATTTTGGAAGAATTGTGGTTAAAATTAGAAATGAAAAGATTATTTTCGGACGGGGGAAAAGGAGAAATGAGAAGATTATTTCCGGACAGAGGGAGTAATAATAATAATAATAATAATAATAATAATAATAATAATAATAATAATAATAATAATAATAATAATAATAATAATAATAATAATAATAATAATAATAATAATAATAATAATAATAATAATAATAATAATAATAATAATAATAATAATAATAATAATAGAGTAAGTCTAAAATCACATTAATGTTATTGGTGTCATTTACTTATACAAGTTCGTTTAGGACACCTAGAGTGTCCCGTTTGTTTTCTACCCCTCCTAACTCTCTTCCTAAACCCCGACCCCCTCCCCCACCCTTGCTCCCCTCATGCATCCCACCCTACCCTGGTAACAAACGAGGGTAGGGAAGGAAGATGCTGGGGTAGGGGCATGAATGGGGCTGGAGTAAAGGATTAGAAGGGTAAGAATCGTCATTTTTATAATAAGATATTGTAAGTGCTCCAAACAAACGGATATAAGTAACAGGTTTGAATTTTCTCTTGTACTCCTATTAAAAACATTCATGGGGAGGTAAAAGCATCACTTAAAATCTACTACACAAGTTACCGAATGCATTTCACAATTTAGTTTTTACCAATCACCTCCATTCATTCAAACCATTATAACCCACTCCACAGTAACTTTTCATGGATCAGTACTCTACAAGTAATCCTCAACTGAAACACTCAAAGCTTGGTCATCACCTTGTTCCTCTCCGGCGGACTGGCCCCGCCCTCTTCCATCCGCGACATCCGGCGGAGGGAAACCACCGCGTCTCCGCGCATCTACAGCCATGCCGGCGTCGGAGGCGGCTTTCTGCACAGCCTCCGGCGACATCCCCCACCCAACTCCGGCGGGCAGCACCAGCATTGGGAAGTTCAGCTTCTCCGGCGCCGCCTTCTCCCTCAGGCAGACAAAGGCGACGTCGTGCGCCGCCGCCGCCGCCTCCGGGGTGGCGTAGGTGCCCAGCCACAGGCGGTCTTGCGTGCCCGGAACGCGAATCTCCGACACCCATTTCCCCCATTTCCGGCGACGAACGCCTTTGAATTTAGTCTGCAGTTCTCTGGATCCGCTCATTGTTGTGAGCTTAAGGTTAAGGTTGAGGGGAATGAAGGAGAAGAAGAACTAAAAAGTCATTTATAGGTTGAATGTGAGAAAGTCAAAGCGGCATAAATTCAAACATTTGGTGATTAAAAACATGGGTGAAAATATTAAAATAAGCTAAAGTTTTGACTTTCAAAAAAGCAATGGGTTGCAGTCAAACTTATTCATTGTTTGTTTGGGTACTTCTCGAAAGCTGAAAGTGAGTGGGAAAGAACGAATAAAATTTGTACACATTGTTCCAATTTAAATTGTCTATCATAATTTATGATAATTGACTGAATTTATTTTTTCAAATCATTTTATATAAAAAATAGTGTAGATTAATAAATAAAAAATTAATTATTTAAAAACTACATTAAAAGATCTACAAAACTAAAGATGAGATATTTATATCATTTTATTCAATGACTAACAAAAATATAAAAAGAAAATTACTAAATTTTGACCGTGTGAGTAGTAAACGAACAATTAAATTTGGGACGGAGGGAGTAGTACATAGTACATAGCTAGTCTCCCCATTTTAAAATTAATCCTAGAGTTTTTTTTTCCTATATTAAAAAATATGTTAAAAACTAAAAAATATATGGTGAAAGTTAAGAAGTCAGTACATAAAATTTATTTGACAAAAAGAGTTAGAGTAGATTTAAAATATAAAATTAACATATTTAAAAACTACATGAAATGCTGATATTATTATATTATTTTTTCAAATGACAAACAAAAATAGATAAAATAAAGCGAATAAAGTTTGACGATATAATTAGTAAACAAAGAGTTTCGTTGGAGATGGAGAGAGTAATAGAACAAATCTTAGAGGAACACCAAACTCTAGTGGAGGAGGTAAATGAAAAGGAATAGTGAAATAATTATCATATTTATCATTTTATATAACATTTCATTCTCCAATAAGAAAGGTATTTGAGATTCTATAAGATGAACTCCAATAACAATAGATATATTGGAAAGGTATATATCTCTTAAGAGCATCCACAGTGGTAATACCTCTCATTAGATGCTCAACTCTGGGCTCTACTTTAAAAATATTATTGCGGCATCTCTTTGAACATCTAAATGCTTTAATGGTGACTAGGGATGGCAATTCAACCCGAACCCGAGCTTAACCGACCCGACCGACTACTAAAATATCCGAACCCGAACCGAGAATAAAATAATCCGAACCCGACCCGAAATTTTTTACCCGAAACCGACATCGAGTCGGGTCGGGTGTGGGTTTATTATTTTACCCGACCCGACCCGAACCCGCACCCGACCTGACTC